GAGAGAAGAGTAACTGAGACAACTTGTTACTCATAACAGTCATGATTTGTATTTTCTTCTATGGTAGTTGGGGTCTTTTAAAGTGATTTTAAAACAAAACGAGACAAACAAAAGCCAGACAGACTCTATTTGGGTCTACAGATGCACATTAGGGTAACTAAAAGCAGAACAAAGCTTGACCTTCATTTTGGATCTGTCTCTTTTGTTACCTTAAAACTTCAGGTGAGCTCCCTGCTCATCTATGTATATTAATTATTTAGGGAGTGTCTGTCTGAAGGTTAGCAAAGCAAGATTGATACAGGGTCTCGCTATGTGGTACTGGGGTTCAAACTCAGGTCCTTGCTCTTGCCAGCCAGGTGCTTAGACCACTGAGTTATCTCCTCAGCCCTAACAAAGCAAGATTGACTAGCCCTACATATATATAACCTTTCTCATCCCCCTTCAAGACTGAGGACATTGAGATTAGACATTTATAAGGACCTCCAAGCACCCATGAGCACCCAGACACCTCACACTGCCCTACATCTGCTTTTGCCTTGGATTCCAACAGAGCCTCCACAAGCCTGAGACTGCCCAGGTGGAGACTGTCGTCTCCTGGAGACCAATTGCCTCTCAACAAAAAGATCTCTCCAGAGCCATCTTGCAGAGCTAGAACTGAGGTGATAATCACCTGGACCCTGGCCAGGCTGACTGTAAAGGCTGTTTGTGATGTTTGGTTAACAGGCCAGACTGAACCTTGTTATCTGATCTGTGCCCCTATTTGCTCCTCAAGCTGAAGTCACTTTCCTACTTTTTCTTCCTTTCTAACTGTCTAATAAATATTCCTACCCCTCACACTGACTTACTGTGAGATGTGCCCAGGGTGAGTTGAGGTCCCTATTTCCCCTCCGGGGGACCTCCTCAGACCCTGTCTGGAGACACTGCCTTAGTTTCTCATTCTGTAAGATGAAGCTGCCAATTTATGCAGAGTTCAAAGTGAGTTATGTTGGTAGCCATCACAATAGCTATTATTTGATTATGTTCTCTTCCTTTCCTTACCCTCCCCTCTCCTCTCTTTCTCCTTTTTGTTTTGGTACTGAAGACTGTAGATTCAACCCAAGACCTTGCACATGCTAGGCAAGTGGTCTAGCACTGAACTACAATCCTAGCCCTTTAAAC